TTACAAAATACCAATGCCTATTTCATGAAAGTAGCCTAACTATGCCTAACATTAAGAGGCCTTACTTCATCTAATCCTGTCTAACCTGTTTGTATCACAGCAGCAGTTGTGAGTTACTGATTCTTGCACAATTTCTATTGCCACTTGCCATGCACTTAACCAACTTAACCTAACTTAGAGTAGCCCATATGTTGTACATCATCTCAACTCACCTATCTGTTGACAGTAGCACTTGTGATAAAACTTGATATAGCAAATTTTTGGCTGGTTTCAAATGCATTTTTATTCAGTTCATTTATGCATGCCTGTTGACATGAAAGTTGACAACACGCAGAAAAATACTTGAAATCACTTTGAACAACTCATTTTAATCGCCATGGTTAACCTATGTCGAAGGCAATAATGGGTATGCTCCACAAAGCAATCTCTCTTCTACAAAAGTAACATATCCTTTAGATGACCATGCCAGTATTGCTGATTGCCTTTTCAGCTGCAGCAAAGACATCTATTTAGGCTTGTTTATTGAAATTTAATGACACAGTTTGACATATTGGCTTCACATTTTAAGTGAGATGGTCTGACTATTTGATACATGCTAATATTTAACTTATATTATAATTGCTATGCAGCTTAGAGTATCCCCGCGTTAGGTTAGGTTAGGTTAGATTAGGTTAGGTTAGGCTAGGTTAGGTTAGGTTAGGTTAGGTTAGGTTAGTTATATAGAGTACAGTCATTTGCCAGTCAGCAAGCCATGACAACTATAGAAAACTCCTGGTTAAAGCAACCATGAGGGACCACTTCAAGAAATTTGGGGCAAATAATTAAGAATATGGAACAAAATAAGCCCACTGCATGCCTTGTAGCATCATAATTTGTCTTCTGACAAAACTCGATTGATTGAAGCAGGAAATGGCTTACCCTGGTTACCACTCATGTGCTGAAAGCAGGTAAGGTAAGCAATTACTCGGTTTACAGGAAGCTTACTGGCTTCTTCCTGCTCCCCCAAGACAAAAAGTCAGTGCTTTTTGCATGGTCTGCTGGCAGACAGTCATCCCACTCACCCAAAAAATATAAATATAAATCGTGCCCACCAACCTACGAGATTAAAATGCGAAACAAGCAAGAGGTGTGCATGATAAACATCTCCAGAGGGCAGAATTTTGCCATCAAACACTTCTGTATTAGCTGCGTCAGGTCTGTCCCAAAGCTCTGTATGGCAGCATTAGGATGGCCTTGTCAGGTAGCCTGGTGAGTTAGACACTCGAAAGCCTTATATTTATCATTATTGAGCATCGCCATGAACCGTGACAAAGGTTAAACGAGGGTTTAACAGGGCAAAAGTGGCGGTAGAAATAAGTTCCGTGCTTCAAATTATCTCCTTCATTCCCTGTTAATTGTGCACTCTTGGGTGCATATCAAACATGTTTGGGCGGCTGGCGAATTAATCCAATTTAGGTATGAAATACGTACAAGTTCGCAGTTAGAGAATCTTGCAGACAAATTGGTCAACATTTTAAGCAACAGATGGTACCTCTAAAAACAACCCAAAGGAAAGGAAGAATAAAGTGGCATCACACTCATATGGTGCCAAGAAAAATGAAAGTAGTTAAACAGATATAAAGACCGTTACTTTTCCTACCGGAACACAGTATACTAGCAGTCTGCATGAATGTATGCACAAGATACAAATGTCCTGGTCAAGTAAGTACCACTCACACTTCTCCTTGCCCGGGGGACCTTAACCACTGGCCAATGGCCAGGAAGGGTATCAAGGCGTATCAAGCGTCTCTTGACGTAACGCTCCGCACGGAAGCTAGTGAGCTGCCCGTACGCCGAGCCGACCGGCCGATACGTGCGGGGTCGTCTCCTCAGCCCTGTGTGGCGGCTGAGTCAGCTGACTGCCGCCCGGGCCGGCCAGCGCTGCGGCAGTGGGAGAGAGGAAAGGCGCGGGAGGGGGTCGCCGGGAGGTGCCGGGAACGTTTCAAATACAGTCAGCCGAGCTCTTCTTTGTTTCGTTATCCCACAAGCTATTTCGGCTGTTACCCGTAGCAATTTTTGGCGTTAAACTTATCCCTGAATTTGATGGCACCGGCGATATCGCGGACTGGCTCGAGAAGGTGCAGATGGTGTGCAGTCTGCAGCAGCCAGAGGCGGATGTTGCGATAATCATCCCGTCACGTCTGAAAGGCGGCGCCTCGGCCGTCTACCGGCAGCTATCAACAGGGCACAGGAGAGACGCCGAACAAGTGAAGAGAGCTCTACGTCGTGCCTGCGCCGTGGACAAGTTCGCGGCATACGAGCTGTTTACGGCACGACGGCTGCGCGCTGGTGAATCCGTAGACGAATCCGTGGACGGCGTACTTGGCGAGCTGCAGCAGCTGGCGACGCTGTTTGGCGGGTTGTCAGAGGAGGGCGTAGGCTGCGCTTTTGTGGCCGGTCTGCCCGAATCGATCAAACAGCTGCTACGTGCCGGCGCGGGGATGGAGTCCCTCTCTCTCACCGACATCGTGGACCGCGCCAGAGCCGTCCTCTGAGAGGAGGGCGACGGACCGGAGGAGGCAACCGCGCTGACACGACGAGGATCATTCGCACGGCATCGGGTTCGCACGGCAGACCGAACAGGCGTGTAGTGTGCTACGCGTGTGGTCGCCCGGGCCACATCGCGCGGCAGTGCTCTGCACGTGCAGGCAGTCATACAGGGGTTATCCAGTGCTACCGCTGTGATGGTCGGGGACATATGGCAGCCCAATGTCCGGGAAACGGGGATCGAGAGGAGGCTCGTGCGCCGTCCTCTTCTGGGGACTGAGGTGTTGCGGCGCGCTGCCGGTTAGAATGCTGCTGCTGGGGGGAGCTGAGTGCGAGGTACTCGTCGATACAGGCTGCACGCGCAGTGGTAAATGTGAGAGAGACGGACTTCCGGGCCACGTATGACAGAGAAAAGAGGAAGTGAACTGTGGTGTGGAAATGGACCGAGGGTGTCAAACCAGAGAGACTGTTGAATCAGGCTACCGAGTGCCGTATAACGCCTGCGGTGAGGAGCGCGTACTAGGAGCCAGTATCCTAGAATTGCCGATATTGGGTGTAAATCAACGCCATATGAGGAGGAATTTTCACTCTCTTTCCCCATATTTTATGTGAATTTTTCACTCCCGCCTGGCATTGTCTAATCGCACATGCCAAACCGCTTTTTCCCTTTCTGAGGTTTTCAGATGTCATCCAAAACCGAGCTCACTTGAAACCACCAAGCATAAACGAGGCGCCACAGAACCTGGACGCTTATGGCTATGTCCTGCCTCACCTATATCTGAATCATGTCTATGTATGCGCAGAGCAAGGGCGCTAGGTACCTCCAAGCCCAAGAACCCCAGCGACTCCAGCCGCTTGCACGCATTAAGTTTGGTTTGTTTACAAAATGCATCACAATCGGCAGCTGTGTGCCAGATGCAAGGTTTTCACGCATCCCCTATTTTTTCGTCTCACCGCCACACCACGAAAGCAGAGTCTGGTGCAAACGCCAGCCTGGTAGAGAATCTTACTCCTCGTATTTCTTTTTCCCCGAGAAAGCTTGACCACTAAATTGCATCACTCCCGAAATGCAGGAGTGAAATATTCAAGAAATGCCTTCCAAATTAAATTTACAAGGTGAATATCACCATTTGAGCACTTATTTTAACAGATTTTAATCATAACAGATCAAATCAGCCGATTACAAAAATTTTGCTGGAAAAGTAACGGTCTTTATATCTAACCAAGAAACAAAGCAATTATCATGTAAGCAAACACAGGCCTGCATAGCAATTTCCGGAGGAACCGCGTTGAGTGGAGCCTTCAGCGAGGGCATTGGTAACAAAAGGCATCGCGGTACGGCTTTGGTCATTAACGCGTAAAGAATGCAATGAAAAAGACGCCCGTTTTGTGGAAAGTGCTTGAACTGGTATCCACAGTTGGTTCGGGGTATAGCTAGCAGCAGTGAACTGCTACAGATGTGTCAAAAATAGCGTTTGAGATTGCTTACGATTCGCCTGTTTCGAGCACGTTCATAATTTCGGGCAAGGAGATGAGGCAAGCCATGATGGCGACGAGAGCGGAGGACACATTTCCGGCGTGCAGTAACACTCTACTTCGGTGGTCCACGGCGCTGGGATGCACTGCAATGGGTCTTGCGCGATCATCCCGATCACGCCCGTCCATGAGCCGCTGTTCAAGCGCGCGCCGAAAATGCCGCCCGATGTTTGCTGATGTACCGCGGAGCATCTGAACTCTTGATGGCAGGCGATGCCCGGTGCACTCCAATTCGTCGAGAGATGGCAGCACGGGCTGGAAGCGTTCGTTCAGCCAAACACTGTTATGTACTCATCTTTTGGCCCTTTTTCGTGGTATTCCGGCACAGCTGTCCGTGAGTTGAATGACGATATCATGACGTCATGGATGCCTGGGCAACCTTGGAAAAAGCCTGCACATCTTCGCGGGCGCGCAGCGTAGAAACCAAAGGGGTTCAGGTTTTAAGAAGGGCAGAGCTGTGAACTGCACCAAATGTTCTTCAAGCTGGTTATTCCGTTGAAACCCCCGCACAAATGAGCAGCAGCCTGGTCGCGTAGAATCTGTGTATACTCCCTGGTCGCTTAGAATCTGTGTATACAAACCCTGCAGAGGCGCCCAGGTGCAGCGCCACCAGAAGTGTCAGGGCTCAACTGTCCCTTTGCCATTTGTCAAGGAGACTAATCCATCCACCCTACTCTCCCCACCGCCACTCACGCCACAGTGTTTTAAGCAATGCGAGGCACAGAGCGCGGGAGTCCACCCTCAAGTCGTCAAGCTTGATCGGCTTCTCATGACCCCGCCCGCCAGTTCAGCCACAACTGAATGCAATTTCAGCGTGCGGCGGCCCTGCCCCATACCCAGTTTCCGCGCCGCCATGCCTTATGGTGGTGCAGTGCAAGGCACACGAGGCATTTGCATAGCAATGTCCATTCAACAGAACGCCAGTTCTTAACCTCGACTTCTCATCCGTTATTTATTCAAGTGTCGTGATGGCTTAAGGGTCCCGTTTCCCCTATCAGAAATTGGTGGCGCCGCCCTTGGCTGTGTTAGATTTTTGTCTACGTGCTCTGCCCTTGGCTGCTTTTGGTGACAAGTTAATCTGGCGCCAAACTTTTAAGTGGCTTCGGCTTCTTTCAGTCACTTTTCCATCGTTTTGTCTTATATGTGTGGAATACGAGGTGCTGGGAAAGTGCGTTCAAATACCCCTTTGTCCTGGCCCTGCGGATGGCCCAAGAGCCAGGCCTGGCGTGGGTTGAGTGGACGTCAAGTCCACCAACCAATCTTCACAAAGAAAAATGCACCTGCGATATTGCATCGGAATGACATCAGGTCCGAAGAGTGCGTACCGATGTCCTAACCAGCTCCCTCATTTCCGGAGCACGTATACCGTATCTCCCACAGCCATCTCGCCCTCCACGTCCACACCCAGCGCACTTCCAAACAGCGGAGCTTCTTTGTACAGCTTCTTCTCCTCCTCCGTCTTAGCCAGCCGGAACGTCCTCAGGGTCTTCAGCGGCTCCATCTGTTCGCTGCGTTCGCCGGTCTTGGGGTCGACGCAGGTGATGCCGCACCGGTGAACGGGTTTGATCCTGCGCATCACCGCGTCACCAATCTTGATGAAGCTCCAATTGTCGTCGTCAAAGGCAGGGGCGCCTTCCACGATGAAGTTGTGACGGAAGTTCTCGAGAGAAACTGGCGTCTTCAAGCGCGAGTTGAGCTCGTCCAGTGATGACGAGCAGATGATCGACGCCGCCGACACGAAGTTGTAAGACATGATGTCCTCAGGTGAGGCGAGATGCACGTACGGCCTTGGGAGGTTCACAGTTCTGCGCGGCGTCACCACATCTGACAGGAAGTACATCATCGCGTACTCCTTGCCGTCGTTGAAGAACTCGGCCAGCCACTTGGCCACGGCCGGCCCCAGGTCGACACCTGAGTCTGGATGGCCGTTGAAGTCGACCGTCATCGTGCTGACGTCGTCGCCGTCCTGCGGCAGCGGCACGGTCAGCGGCGGCATCCCGGGTGCCGTCAGTGTGACGCCGTCCCCGTCCACGTCGGCGGCGACGAGCACCAGGCGGCGGCGTGTGCTGGCGAACAGCGCCTTGCCCTGGCAGACGACGGCCAGGCAGCGGTCGAGGACGGCGCCGTGCCGCACGCCCAGATGCGTCAAACGGACCCGCTGGCAGCGCTGGCCGGCGCCCGACTTGAGCGGGTACAGGTGGATGGCGGCGAGTCGGCCGGCCGGCGTCCAGGCGGCGGCGGCGCCGGCGCGACGCCGACGTCGCCAGGTCAGGAGCAGGGCGGCGCCGAGCAGGACGGCGGCGGCCAGCAGCGGCGGGAGGCGCGACTCCGCCATGATGTCTCGGCCACCGGTCCCCCACCACTGCTGGCCGGCGTCGCGAGCCGCCTCTCGGACCGTGTGGTTTGTTATCTCTCCGAGAGGCGCGAGGTGAGACAGCTCCGCGCCGACGGCCAAGGGTGTGGCCCCCATCCGGCCACGGGCGTGCGGGTGCGCCCAAATGCCGCCGTGCAGGTCACAGCCGCTGCTGCTATGGGGCCAGATCAATGTCACCTTGGTGTTATCTGGTAACTAGGCATGTCGTGGGATTGTATAACACTCATATGCGCACCACACTTAAGGACTCTGTGTGTGCGGGCAGTGTTTTTTAAGTACCTTTTTGCGTCCATGCGGAGGGCCCAGCAACACATCATCAGTAGCAAACCAACTGGCTAGCACTACGACACCTCGTACACAAATTCCCGCTACAACTTCAATGCGAACGTTTCATAGTTCACAAGCTCTGGCTTGCGCAATACACCGGGCATGCACCGCTCAGCGCTTCCCCACCAAGAAACGGTAGCACGCGCGCCTCTGCCTGACACGCTCCAGAGGCGAGCCGTGACAGCTACCGCGTTGCGCTGCGTCTGGCGGCCGTTAGGCCGTCCGAACGCCACTGGCAGGCAGCTGTGAGCGCGCAAGGTCGGCCAGATAGCGCAGGGTCCGTTTACGTTCGACCTTTGAGCCCTCGGTTTGTTGAGCGTGCAACGCTCAGGGACGTGGTCGGGCGTTCGGTCCACTCAACGCCGCACCGTTCGGGCAGTCGCGGACTACGGGCCGTGTTCGTCAGCCAAGGCATAGGCTGCCGAAAATGAGCCACGCCAGAGCTACACCACACCCAACACTCGCATTTGTGGTGGGTGTGCCGACTAGAGATGCAACTTTCTCCAAAATATCAGCCCGCAGCCCAACCCGCCCGCCTAGTTAGCGATCCAGCCTGCAGAAGCCCGCTATGCTGCGATGCTGATCTGCCATTGACCAGCAAGTACTAATTTATTGAAGCGTGCATTTCATCATTTCACCTTAATTTTACACCTTAAAATTAAAGTGTAATAAAACGGCATGTTAGTGTCGTCAGCTCCTCGCGCGCGGCGCTGCCGGTCGGCTGCGTTGCCTGAAGTTTCACTCCTCCCTGCCTCACCGCGCTGTGTCTCGTCCCACGTGTATGCCAGTGACACTGTCTGTGCGGGGGAGTGATCACCTGCGTGACGAACTGTCACGTGAATTCTGTGCTAGTCCGACGAAAAGTCTGCTCAACGAAACAGTATGCTCGACGAAATACTTTGCTGAACGAAACGGCCTTTTTCTGCCGCGATAAAGATGCATCGCGAGCTTGCCAGCCATCTGGTGCTGCTGGTGTTGACGTACCTGCTCGTAAAAGCTGCGAAACCAGCATCACGGCAACCTCTTCGATTCGGATCCGCATGATCGTCACTGACATCATCCGGTAGCGACCCCCAGCCCATGAGCCCTGCCGACACGCTGGCCGCTCTCGAAGCGACCTCGCCCCGCACCCCGGCCGCGGTGACCTTGACCGTGACCTGCCATCGGTCGTTCGCGTTGCCCGGCGCGGTAGAGGCGGTGCCGGCACCAGGCGCCGGGGCTGCAGGGGCTGACAGGTGTCGTCGGAAGCTACTGATGGGACCGAGCAACATCCGGTCCCTGCTGCTGGAGGCAGTTACACTGCAGCATGACCATCTAAACTGGCTCCATTACGACTTTTGCGTGATCACCGAGACGTGGCTTCGATCAGCTATTGCGTCCAGGCCGGTCACAGTCCCCGGCTAGGCGCTGCACCGCGCGGACCGGTCAGGAGAGGTCGGTTGTCGGAGTGCGGCGGTTTTGAGATCGTTTCTTCTGCACCAGGTTATCCACCTTTTCTCCCGGGTCACTTTTGGACGTGATCATTTCTTATTTAGATAACGTCGTTCAGCGTGAAGGAGCTTGGTTTTAGCCCTCACCATTTTGTTCACACGCTCTTACTTTTGTCCAGTGTCCTGTCAAGCCTCTTCATATCCATAGTCGACTGTTGAAACGGTTTGATCATGTTTGTTTGCTTCGTGGTTTGTACCATATCGGCTGGTTCGGTGTTTTAAGACGCTCATTAGTCGCTGAAATGTGGTCCCATATGCTAGACAGTCTTCTACCAATCATTCACAAACACACTCCGATCAAACTGCTGTCATTAAGAAATCCATTGAGGGCACCAGCTGTCACCCCGGTGGCCCTTGACCTCATGACACAGCGGAGGGCGTGCTGCGTCACGAGGGGAGATCGCCGGCTTTCCGCGAGCTGGACCGGAGGGTGAGTCCGGCGATCAGGCGTGATTGCTGGGCGGATGTTGTGGAGAGGCTGCGCGGCCAGGGGAACAGTTCTCTGTGCCGCATTATCCGCGCGCTGTTGGCGGGGAAAAAGAGCGGTGCTCGCAATCTGCCAGCGGCGACCCCGGACGAGGTGAATGCTCAGTGTCGGCCCCGTGTCACAGCCAACCTGATGGGTCTCGAACAGCCACCTGACGCCCCATGACGCCTGCCCAGGCTGAGCACTTGCGGTCTCCGGGTGACTAGCACGACCGTTGACGGGCTGCACGAGGTCATGCCCTCCAGGGAGTGTTCTGGGACGTGTGGACCTGATGGCGTTTGTATTCATGTCCTGCTGCTCTGGTTTGACGTCATCGGTCCAATCCATCCCCTTACTATCAACATTTGCCTCACCTCCTGCGGTTTTTCCGATTCCTGGAAGCACTCCCTAGTTCGTTATGTTTCCAAGTACGGCGATCCAGCCCTGGTCTCCAATTACTGTCCTATTTTTACGTTCCTATCATGGCTAAAATTGTCGAGCGTGTGGTGCAGCGCCAGGTGTTAACTATATGTTCGACAATAATTTTCTGTCCTCATGCCAACATGGTTTACGTCCCTGCCATTCCAGTGAGACTGCTCTGCTCACTGTAACCGGCCATGTCATGAATTGCGATCATTTTTCATTCAGTACCTCCTGGATCTCAGCAAATGCTTCGACGTCATCCGTCATGCTCAACTACTTTCCAACCTCCATCCCTATAGCAATGGTCCGACTTGGTTCTCCTATCTTCCTGGTCATTCCTAACCAGTCTGCATGTCTTCTTCTAGTGACAGAGTGGTCCCAGCCCCTCCTCAGCACCATGGGAACCTTCCAGGGATCAGCCCTTGGTCCTCTTTTATTTATTTTAAGCCTGCAGGCACCAGACGCTCATGTGATCCAGTACGCTGACGGCACCCAAACCCTCATTTCCGATGTTAGATGCAACTTTCCACCATACAACGCAAGGAAACCATCCTGTCCTCCTTAGTATCGTGGTGCCATGCCCACGACCTCAAGCTCAACGCGTCCAAGACCGAACTCCACCTTGGTACCAGACAGAACACTCGCGGACTTTCCCCTGTCGGTATACGGGTCGGTGGGGAGACCGTTTTGGAGAGCCTGACCATAAAAAGCTGGGACGTGCTATCTGACCGCCTCCTTAGCTGGGGCGCACACGCCAGTGATAAAAAAGTGATAAAAAAGTGTATCGGCGTCCTGGTCGGTCTCCGCCACTTGAGCCATTTCCTCACCCAACGAGTGCGGCTGGCCAAACTGCAGAAGCTAGTCACCTCGCACGTGGGATACTGCATTTCGGTTTATGGCCAGGGGTCAGCTGCTAACGAGACCGGACTACTTAAAGTAATTAGCTTCGCTTCCAGAGTAGTTACCGGCTTCCGAAAGCCTGGTCACGTGCCTCGCACGCGGGATGACCTGCACTTTGCCAAAGAACGAAATGTTATCGCTGCGCACAAAGCCCATGAGCGATGTGAACCTGCAGGCCTTGCCTGTTTGCTTCGGACCATGCGCTGACGTGCGGACCAGTGACCGAACTACCGGCATGGACCATAACCCGCGCCCCCCGGCAATGCGTATGGCGGCAGGACATCGGTCCTTTGCATACCGAGCGACGTTTCTCATAAATCAGTTGCTTATGAATGTCAGACGATTGAACTCAACAAGTTGTAAACGCACTTCCAGGTCCTTTTCTGCGATACGGTTGTCTCGTTTTGTTTATGCGTACATGCGTTTATCTTTTTCATTGCTTATCACTTTCCGTTGTTGTTGTTTTTTGACATGCTGTTTAATCTCTCAGGCTAATGACACGTAAGAGCCACGTATCTATGTGACGTCTCAGCTGATGTAAAATACAAATAATACATAACATTGCTTGACTAACGCTGGCGATATTGCCCGGAGAGCAGCAATCAAAGCGCCTGCAAAATGGAAATCACAATGCAGAAAAGTAGATCTTAAGCACTGTGATACCCGTTTTTAATGTGTGTGGTGTGGGGGGGGGGGGGGAGGTCCTGCGGTGGCGACGTGCGCGGCTGCCTGGCCGCCGCTGGATGTTGTGCGCCGCCGGCTGCCGCTGTCACGCCTCCCCACAAGAGCGAATTTATAATGAGGAGCCCATTGGTCAGCATACGAACCAGATGATGTTAGCGCACGACTTGGCACGTTGTGGCTCCGGTACACCCGACATCAACGCACACTCATGTGAGCCACAGGGCTAGGATGAAGCGGGTAACCGGGGCATTGGCGGGATGGTGGTCCGGTCGGGCGCCATGAACGGCTGTCTCCCCGCCCATGGCTGCGCGCCCTTAATTACGGTACCTCACCTCCACCCTTAAGCTTGCGATAATATTTAAATGGGGCAAAAACGGAACCGCATGCATACTAGTACGCCCAACTAGCAAGGGTCCCACGCACTGGCGAATTATATTGGCAAGAGCCTGCTGAGTACTGGCCCTGGAACCCCCCCCCCCCCCCTCCCTGGCCTTAACTAATCCACGCAGACTCCATGCACTCGGCGCCCCACCACACTCAATCCAAGCATTCACCCCCCTGGCGCCCACATCCTCAGATTCATCCTTGGCTTGCACAGGGGTGGGACCCTCCCCCCCTCTTATTTCCTGCGCCTTAGCACTATAATTGGCTCGTCGGCTTGGGTCCTCGTTAAGTTAAGTTAAATTCATTCATCACGTTTCGATCCTGCCATAAGGCCACATTTAAGCCCCATTCAAAGTGTACCACGTTGATTTGCCAGCTTGGCACCGACGCAGCTGCGGGGCCGAACCCGGGTGTCCGAAGCCGAACGGCGACTAGTTCCCTCGCCTGACCTCCAGGGTGACGGCTCCCTGTTTGGACGACGCTCCCCACGTTCCGTCCACGATGGACGGCCCAGCATTCGCACGGCCACACCCAACGCTTGCAGCTTCCCGCTGCCGCACATGCGCATTAGGCAGCGCCTCGTCCAGCACGGAGGCGTCGCTTCCGTCACTTCTGCGCCTTCGCCTCCCGCCCACCGGAGCAGGCTTTGCAAGGCACCGCCCCACGGCGCACCCCTCAGAGGCCTGGGGGTAGACGGCGCACTCTATGGGACGGTGGAGCCCCTCGGCAGACGACGAGCGCCCGGCACGACCTGCGTCCACGCCTTACGGTCTCCTCGGCCGGCGCGCTCTGGAGACTCGGCCTGACTGGCCTGTCCAGCGACCTGATTCTTCGTTGCCCTCCCTATGAGCGTCGATGGCGGGATCTCTATCCGTCTCGAACATCCCGCCATCAAGCGCTTATGAGGCCCGGCGTACACCACGTCGGAAGAGAACAGACCGACTCCTCTCCTCTCCCAAGGCGGAGACACCACTCCGCTACCGCCATGCACAACCAAGCATCCCGGGCGGTCCCCACGGGTCCTGGGTCACATCATGACCAATGCCTCTTCAGGCCGTCACGCCTGGGGTCAAGTGGGAAGCAATAAAACGAGTCAGCCGTCTCCGAAAAAAGAGCGAAACTGCGTCTTGAGCCGCGCCACCCACAAACTTCTATCTGCGTAAAAGCAGGACTACGGTCGTCTGGCTCCTCGTCCTCGTCGTAGCCACGCCGGGCTGCTCGCTTGCCGGCGGGCCGCGAGCAGTGGGCTGCTCCGCCCATGCACACCGCAAGAGACTGTCATCTACCGGAGGGTCGCGGGTGCCCGCACCGCCATCGCGCACCGCCGGGTGCTGCCCTCTGCCGCGATTGCCCATGTCGGCTGACAGATGGCGTTCGTGTCTCCTTCTGAACGCTGTCCCGGACGACGCCCCGCAAGCAGCCTTCCCTGGTCTCGCAGAACTGCGGGCGAGCCCTCGAGATGTAGCGGGCTCGGTGCACCTCACCGCTATGCCTCAACACCCCGGCGGGCGGTCTCCCTTCGACCTCCAGGCAACATCGGAGGAGGGCGCGAGGCGGGTTTGCCGCCTCGCCCCATCCGTCCAATACGTCGCCGGGCCGGCATGCACTGTTCGGAGAGTCCGGCCTTCGACGTGCCCCTAGGCCAGATCTCGGGCGTGGCGTCGCTGGCGACGGCGCAAGATCCGCCCGCTCTCGCCTCGGGCGGGCCCTGCGCGTCATTCTCTGGCCCAGTTCTCACGTAGCGTGGCTCTTCTGACGGCATCTGGGGCGACGGCGGCGCCGGCGCGGCGGGGGTTGACGGGGCGAAACAGTAAACACCCCCACAACATGTTATTTGCGCGTTCCTGGGTGCATGTTGTTTCGCCGATCGCCCGCTCTTGCCGCCATTTCTTTTGGCGCGATGGATGATTTTGGCAGGTGGGGCCGTCGTCATGGCTGTTCTGGGGGAAGCACCTGGGGTTGTTCTGACGACGTGAGCTGATCGGTCGGATCGTCGAGCCGAGCTGCACTCATCTCTCGGCACGATGGACGTGTTTATTCGTGAGGGGGAAGGAGCCCTCGACCATGGACGGCTGGTTCGCTTTCCCACGTTCCGCCCGCGAAGCCTCTCTGGTCCCGGACGGGTGGCGCAAAACGACGAGGCAGGAAAATGGACGCCTACATTAACTACAAATGAGAAGGAAGATGGTGAAATGAAATTATAATTCACAAAAATGCTTCAGATTTCTTCCTTCTACCGTATCTCAATAGATCCCAGACGTTAAGTTAAGAAAAGTTAAGTTAAGCAAAGGTACATTATTTGGCTATCACGACTTTCGGCCCGCAAAAGCATGCCAAGTCTGGCCGGTGACACAGTCAGGAGCACGTGTTCTTGCGGGTCAGAAATTGACGGGTTGGTGGGCTGAAAAGTTGCGTCTCTAGTGCCGACAGCACTTCTAGCATAAGTACTGCAAACGACAGAGTGTCCGCAACATTATTTCTACCTGACATTACTTCTAATGCAAGAACTTCTAATGCATAGCATTCTACGCGATAGCATTTCTAATGCATGACCTTCTTTGCTACAGCACGTCCAACGCCAAGGCTTTCACGTAACATCACTTCCACAAGACATAAATTTTAACGCAAAATTATCTACACGGCGCTGCTTCTGATGCAAAAACTTCTAACGGGGAAACTTTCACATGACAAAACTGCTAACGCAAAAACACCTGTACGACATTATTGCTACGCGATTAGGAGGAGTGAACCACCTTTTTGTGCTGTTCACTTATTGTTAGATCAGACACGTAAGATTTCAACAGTAAGACCAGTTCTCTCGAAATCTTGAATAGTTCATAACTTCCATTTGAAGTAGCCGCTCCGGCGGGAGAAATGTAATAGACTCCCTGAGCACCGCCGTGGAAGTAATGCATTTCATCTGCCTTGCTTTTTCTAAGGTGTGTATTTTGCTTTTCGAAACTTTAGGGAAACCGTAGACCTATGCACTGGCTGCAGTGTCTAGGCGTCTGATCGAAT